GCAAAAATAAGAGAGAGAAAGAGATGGGGAAGGAGGGAGGGAGGAGAAAGGAAGAGGGGGAGGAGAGTGAAGGAGAGGGAAAAGAAAGACAGAGACAGAGAGAAATAGATGAGGGGGAAGGAGAAAGAGAACAGGAAAGAGAAGAGATGAAATGAGAGCAAAAACAAGCAAGAGGGAGAGAGATGGAAAGGAGGAAAAGAAAGAGGAAGAGGGGAGGGGAGAAGGAGGGAGGGAGAGAAGAGGTCAGAGTCTGAGCTTTTCACATGGGAAATTTACTTTGCCCCTGAACTTTTCATATTGGAAGTACCTTTCACCCCCAAAGCCTCTCCCTCTGATTGGCGTGTTCCTCCCAGAACCTCAGGCCCCAGCCTTTCTTCATTCTTCTCCAGGACACACTCCTGACTCTCTGGACTTTCTCTCTTGTGCCCTTGAAGCTGGCATGCCCTCCTTCCTCCTTCCCCGCATTCATATGTTATCTTCCCCCTTTAGAATGTAAGCTGCTTGAAGGCAGGAGCTGTCTTTTTACTTCTGCTCATATTCCCATGTTTAGCACTGTGCCTGGCATGTAGCAAGGGCTTAATAAATGCTTGTTGACTCGGCCTGACCCATTTTACAAGCATGGCCAGCAGGAAGCCCAGTTCTGTGATTCTCCCACAGCTCCCAGCTATCTTAGAGGGTGGAACCCTAAATAGTTGACCTTAGATCAGAATTTCTTCCAGAGCCAGATTGGAAGTTGGAGTCAGCCTTTCCTCCATGGGACCGTCCGTGGTCCCCAGGTTCCTCCTTTTTTCCTGGAATCTGACACAGCTGTATTTGAATGTGCTTTTCGACGTCCAATTGGCTGCATTGAGCTGACCTGACCCTGCTGATACTGCTGTATCAGCAGCTGTAGCAGACCTAGTCACATCCCACAAGGTTGGAAGGGCCGCCAGGACATGTCCATTCTGGGGAAAATGTAGGGAAAACCAGCCTGGCAAAATGCTGCAGATTGCTTAGTCTGTGTGTTCCGTACCTAAAGTCATCTGAGCTTCCCAGTGACTTTCCACTCTTGTTCTCTGCAAGAGTCATGATAATTAAGAGGGTGAAAGGTGTAACCATGTGTATTTTAATGTCTCTGCCAATGAATGACTCTGTGGACTGATAAACATAATGGACCCCATCCAGCAGCAACAATACATGACTCAGTGGATGGGAGCTCTTTAAGAACAATGAGGAAGCAGGAAATAAATTACTGCACTTAACAGGACCCTGTTGCATGAAACTCTTTGCCTAGAAGCCTATCCCAACCACATTTCTTCCATCTTTTCTATTGGACAACATACCGCCTCAAGTCTGTGTAGTCTCTCCGTGGTTTCTATGCTGTCTTCTCATGATCCTACTCATTCTGACCTCCTAGCCTTTTTTGTCTCTTTTGCTCCTCTTGGCATACCCTTCTCCTACACTGTCGATCTGAATGTATTCATCCTTCAGAGTCTTAGCTTAAGTCCCAGTCTTTTTATGCCTCTGGGTCCGTTTTTCTCCAATTTAAACATCTCTCTTTCCTTTCGCTGATCCTGTATGTCACAGACTCAAAGGCCTTCGTTCCCCCTCCTAGTTCCCCTCTTCTCGACACTTTGTAGCTTATGTGTGCGTCCCTCTTAAACTGGGCTGCTCAGAACAGAACACAGCATCTCAGATGTGGTCTGACCAGAGAATGTGCCATCTTATTCCTGGAAGCTGTTCCTCTCTTAATGAAGCCTAAGATTGCATTAGCTTTTTGGTTGCCACATCATACTGCTGACAGTTATTGAGTTTAGAGTACACTAAAACCCCCAGGTTTTTTTCCAGCAAACTGCTGCCCATCTATGCCTCTCTGATGCTTTTCTTGTAAAGTGGATTTTTCAGATCCAAGTATAAAGTTTTACATTTATCTCTTCAGAATTTCATTTTATTAGTTTGGCCCAAAGCTCCAATCTAAGGAGCTCCAGCTAAGGAACTTGTATCATAATTCACAGAAAAAACTGATGCCATTTTCTGAGAGCTCCCTCTTCTCCCTGCCTCACGTTACTCAAATATTTTCCCCTACTGTCTCCTCTTTCACCCCCATGTCAAGCAAAAAAGGTGGCCTTTGCTAAGGCTCCCCTCTCTCCATGCATCCTTGATATCCCACACCCTCCATGTCTTTTCCAACAGATTGCATCTTCTGTCATCTTCACTGTCTCCCTAATCTTCAACCTCTTGCTGTCTGTTGGTTTCTTCCCTGCTACCTACATGCTCATGTATCCCCAGTCCAGCCATCCCCACTGGCTCTTGGCCTATTTCTCCTCCCCTTCTCAGTTATACTCTTTGAGAAAGCCCATCCACCCTCAGTACCTGCACTCTCCCTCCTCTCACTACATCCTCTGCAGTCTGGTTTCAGACGTCATTCAGCTGAAGTCACTCTTTCCAAAGTGACCAGGGATCTCCTCATTGCCTTGCCTTTTACTCACTCCTCATCCTTCTTGACCTCTCTGCAGCTTTTGACACTATCAATTCCCTTCTTCAGAGTATTCTTTCTATTCTGTTTCCACCATGCTGCTTTCTTCTGGCTCTCCTTCTGCCTGACCACTTCCAGTCTGACCACTTCTCAGTCTCCTTCTGTATCATCTCATTTGATATCTCATCAGTTTGCATGGATTCAACACAGATGATTCCTGGCTCTATTTACCCAGTCCTAATCTCTCTTCTGAGCTCTGGTTTCACATCACCAGCTGCCTTTTGCCCTTCTCAAATTGGGTGTTAACCCAAATTCGACATGTCCAAAACTGCTCACTCCCTTTCACCCAAAACCCTCCCGTCTTCTCAACTTCCTGATTACTATTGAGGGCACCTTCGTCTTCCTGTCACTCAGACTCCCAACTTTGGTCTCATTCTTGACTTTTCACTCACATTCACACATTGCCACTCCATCCAATCTATTGACAAGTCTTGTGATTTCTGCCTTCACATCTCTCATGTATTCATCCTCTTTCTACCCAGCCACACATCTGCCACCATGGTGCAAGCCCTCATCATCTCTGAACTAATTCCCAGCTGGACTATTACAATAGTTGAGTGGTGTCATGGATAGAGCACTGGGCCTGGAGTCAGGAAGACCTGAGTTCAAATCCAACTTCAGACACTTACTAGTTGTGTGATCTTAGACAAGGCACTAAATCTCTGCCTCAGTTTCCTCAACAGCAAAATGGAAAGCCCTACCTCCCAGGATTGTTATCAGCTTAGCACAGTGAAGCACATAGGAGGTGCTTAATAAGTGCTTATTTCTTTCCCCTTCCCTTTCTGCCTATAGTCTTCTGGTAGGTCTCCCTGCATCAAATCTTACTTTGTATCCTACACATAGCTATCAAAGTGATTTTCCTAAAGCACAACGCTGACCATGTCACTCTCTAAACTCCAGGGGCTTCCTGTTACCTCCATGATCAAATATAAAATGTTCCAACATTTAAAGCCCGTCATAACCTGGACCCTTCCAATCTTTCCAGTCTTTTATATTTTTAGTTCCCTCTGAGTATTCTCAGACCCAGCTGATGATCACATAGCCGTCATTCTCCCAAATTTATACCTTTTCACTCATTATCTCCCCTGCCTAGAATGCTCACCTCTGTCTCCTGGCATCCCTGACTCCCTTTAAGACTGAGCTCAAATCCTACCTTCTGCAAGAAGCCTTTCCCATTTCCTCCCTAACTGCTAATGCCTTCTCTAGGACTGCCTTCCATGTACTGTGCATAAATTTGCATGTACCCAGGGTACAACAAAGGAGGGACCTTGTTTTTCACTTTCTTTTTTTTTCCATTTGTTTGTTTTTCACTTTCTTTGTATCTCTGGGGCTCAGCACATAGTAGATGCTTAATAGATGCTTGTTGACTGACTGATCTTGACTTTATTCATTTTGTTGGCAAAAATGTTGGCCAAGACCAGATCACTATAGCCCTCCACTGGAGCTCTCCCACCAAGATGACATCGAACCATTGATGACCACCAGCTCTAAATTCATCTAGTTGTATTATTATCCAGTTTGGAAGTATCGAACGTGTGACCCACAACACTCCTGAGTGCAGACCAAACCAGCTTGAAACATAGTTAGGAAATATTTAAAATAAATAAATTAATAAAAAATATATAAAAACACGTGTGGTTTTCTAAGTCAGTATGTGGTCTGCAGGGATCCTTATGTGTAGTTTAGTGGGCCCTATTTCTCTTTTAAGAGTGATACCACTGGTCTAGTTCACATCTCTCCATCTATACCACAGAATCTGGAGGTCAAGGAAGAGACAGAGAAGGCCCAGATCACCGCATTCAAAGCTAGACAGTGGAGAAAAAGCCAGGCTGAATGGATGGCAGATGTGAGACCAGGCGCAGGCTTTTGACCTCTTATTGTTAATATGGCCTGAGTCTTGGAATTAAGGGCCTTCCTCCTCAATTTCTGGCTTTTTACAAGGAAATTTTACTTCTTCCTTTTCTATCTAGGACACAAGGTCTGAGGGTAGTTAATCTCTATTGTATGGTTTAAGGGGTAAAATTGTTTGCTCTATTTATTTTTTTAAATCCACTTATTTAAAAAACCAACAATGTTTGGCTCCCATGTTTTTAATTTCTTGCATTTGTTTGTTGTTTGGCTCGTTCTTTTAAACCCATAGTTATGGTTTGCCGCATGTCAGTGCCCTCTTTTTCTCTAAAATGTCAAACAGGGATTTTTCATGGCCAGTTTGGGGTTTTTCCAGAAATTACTCATTTTTACAGAGTGTGTTTTTCCTCTCTTTGTTTTATGACAAAGATAGTATGGATATGGTATGGACCTTTTATTTTTTGCTATTCATTATTTAGCCAGAGCTCAGAGCTCTTATATTAGCCCTAAACCTGTGTCTTCTGTTGATTCCTTCCTTGGGTGCCGGAGACGTATGACTGGCACGCTTAGTAATTACCACTGTTGCCCACAGGTACCTAGGATGGGTTTATTTACCTGCTGTCCTTTTACTTTCCAGGCAGAATCCTTGTTTGGTGACCAGAGCTGCCTGTATTGATATTCTTGTCCTACTGACTCGCTGCCTTGACAAAGCCCCAAAGGGAAGCCAGCCAGGTATGACTCATCAGATGTGTTTTGCAACTTGATTTGGAATCTTTACAGGATTTGCATTCCGTTTTGGACTTCATGCCGTGTGTGGGATTTTGTGTTGTTTCTCCACCCTGCTGCTTTTTTTTTTTTAGTCTAACCACACATCACATGAAAGAGGATCAGTTCTATTATTCCTCTGTTGAGCCATCTCTCAAGAAAACCAATGGATGCTGAAAGTTTCCATTTCATTCCTATTCAGCCCTTTGGGCAAAGAGTATGGACCTAGACCTTCTCTCTTTCAAAGGCTTTGGGAGAACCTTGTTCTTCATAGGATATTTTCTTTGAAAGGGCATTCAGTTTTGCTATGTGGAGATAGTCAAGCTGTCTTCATTTAATACCATAGGCTAAATATTTAGGAGTCTGTCTCAAAGTCCACCTCTGAAGTAATGCAAATAATAATTGCTATCTGAAGGCCTTGGCTTCAGATATCTCTCCCCTGAATATATATATATATATATATATATATATATATATCATTTAATCGTCATTCACAGAGCTGCTCCCTTAAAATAAAAGGGGGAAGGGCAACTCCAAATAAAAATGTTTCTTGATGTGTTTATATAAGAGGCCCCAGGAAGTTGCTGTACATGAGTTCCAGGCCACAGACTGAAACTGATTTTCATCAACACAAACTGGAATGCAGCATAATGAGCCTGTGACTGGTTAAAATCAGCCCCTTCTAATTGATTAGGCCTGTCTGAAGGCTACAATTACAAAGACAGGTTTCGAGCACCAGCATGCCAGTCTGTTCCTGTGTTTCCTTGTCTATGATTTGTTGTCTTCAGGAAATACGTTCAGGCTGCTAAAGTCCAGCCCTGTCCATATGGAATTTTGTTCCCAAATTCAAATGAATCCAGAGTGCATGGAGGAGACCTGAAGCTACCTCACCGAGATCTATATGTCTTAAACCACAAAGCCTGTGTCCCCAAAACATTCGTGAGATGCCATGCTAATGACCTCTTACTCTGGGGGCTCATGTTGGGTTCCACACATCCTTCCCATTTTGTTTGCATGAATGTTGGGATTATACAGAGATTAAAAATCAGATGTTACCAAAGATTTTCATTTTTAAAATGGGATCTTCCATCATTATGTTTTGCAACGGAAAATTCCATGTCACGGCATTTCTCCGTTTCTCTGTATGCTATATATGAAACCATTAACAGAGACTTACTGAATACTTACTAGGTGCAGGGTCCTGCTCTAGGCACTGGGGAGAGGGATGGAGGATATAAAAGTGTATCAGACACAGTCTCTGCCCTTATAGAGCTTAACAGTCTTGTAGAGGTGATAAAATATGCATATTATAATAGTTTGTAGTTCAGTCACTTTTCATTCATATCTGACTCTTCATGACACTATTTGGGGTTTTCTTGGCAAAGATACTGGAGTGGTTTGCTATTTCCTTATCCAGTTCATTTTACAGATGAGGAAACTGTTAAGTGACTTGCCCAGGGTCACACAGCTAGTAAGTGTCTGAGACCAGATTTGAACTCAGGAAGATGAGTTTATAAAAAATAGTAATATAAGATATAATGTGAAAATGTAGTAAGAAAGGCATAAAGTCCACTCATTCAATTTTATTAAATGCCTTTTATGTACAATACACTGTTCCTTGTGTTGGGGGGAGAAAGGTGATTCCTTCCAGATGGGAGGAAGGGACATCAAAGAAAGCTTCATGGAGGAGCTGGGTCTTAATGGAAGGGTTAGATAGGTGAAGCTAAGAAGAAAGGACATTTAAGGTATAGAAAGCTGAGTACAGAGAGTATAGAAGAAGGAAAACAGGGAATGTGTTTGGAGGATAGCTGATAATCTAATTTGTCTGCAGTATTGTATGTACAGAGAGAAGAGGGGGTAGTAAGAGATGAGATTGGCATTGGGATATTGGGGGCCCAAATCATGGAGGGTCTTGAATGCCAAACAAAAGTCTTTAGGCAAAAAGCTTGATAGTGAGAGGAGCTAGGTTTAAGAAAGATTAATCAGGTGGCGTAAACTAGAGGAGGAAGAGAAATAAGAGAGGGAGACCCCTTAGTGGGTTATTATGATAGTCCAGACAAGAAGTACTTCCCTTTGGGCATAGTTCCAAATTGCTCTCCAGAATGGCTGGATTAGTTCACAACTACACCAACAGTGCATTAATGTTCCATTTCCCCACATCTTCTCCAACATTTATCATTTTCCTTTCCTGCCATATTAGCCAATCTGATAAGGGTGAGGTGGTACCTCAGAGTTGTTTTGATTTGCATTTCTCTAATCAACAGTGGTTTAGAGTATTTTTTCATATGACTATAGATGGCTTTGATTTCTTTGTCTGAAAACTGCCTGTTCATATCCTTTGACCATTTATTAGCTGGGGAATGACTTGCATTTCTATCAATTTCATTCAGTTCTCCAAGTACTTTAGAAGTGAGGCCTTTATCAGAAACAATGGCTACAAAAATCGTTTCCCAGCTTTCTGATTTCCTTCCAATCTTGGTTGCATTGGTTTTGTTTGTGCAAAACCTTTTTAATTTAATGTAATCAGAATTATCCATTTTGCATTTCATAATATTCTCTATCTCTTATTTGATTATAAATTCTTCCCTTCTCCATAGATCTGAAAGGTAAACTATTCCTTGCTCTCCTAATTTGCTTATGGTATTACACTTTACGTCTAAATCCTGTTCCCATTTTGACCTTTTCTTGGTATACAATGTAAGATGTTGACCTATGCTTAGTTTCTGCTATACTGTTTTCCAATTTTGCCAGCAGTTTTTGTCAAATAGTGATTTCTTATCCCAGAAGCTGTTTATCAAACAGTAGGTTACTATAGTCATTTACTACTGTGTCTTGTGTACCTAAGGTATTCCACTGATCCACCACTCTATTTCTTAGCCATTACCAAATAGTTTCAATGATTGCTGCTTTATAATATGGTTTTAGATCTGGTTCAGCTAGGCCACCTTCCTTTGCATTTTTATTTTCATTAATTCCCTTGATATTCTTGACCTTTTGTTTTTCCAGATGAATTTCATTATTTTTTTCTAACTCTATAAAATAATTATTGGTAGTTTGATTGGTATGGCACTGAACAAGTAAATTAATTTAGGTAGAATTGTCATTTTTATTATATTAACTCGACCTACCCATGAGCAATTGATATTTTACCAGTTATTTAGATCTGACTTTATTTGTGGGAAAAGTGTTTTGTAATTGTGTTCATACAGCTCCTGGGTTTGTCTTGGCAGATAGACTCCCAAATATTTTATGTTGTCTACTGTTATTTTAAGTGGAATTTCTCTTTCTATCTCTTGCTACTGGGCTTTGTTAATAATATATAGAAATGCTGATGATTTATATGGGTTTATTTTATATCCTGCAACTTGGCTAAAGTTGTTTATTATTTCAAGTAGTTACCATCATATCATCTGCAAAGAGTGATGGTTTTGTTTCTTCATTTCCTATTCTAATTCTTTCAATTTCTTTTTCTTCCTTTATTGATAAAGCTAACTTTTCTAGTTCAATGTTGAATAACAGTGGTGATAATGAGCATCCTTGTTTCACCCCTGATCTCATTGAGAAAGCTTCTAGCTTATCCCCATTACAAATAATGCTTGCTGATGGTTTTAGATAGGTACTACTTATCATTTTAAGGAAAACTCCATTTATTCTTGTTTTTAATGTTTTTAATTGGAATGGGTGCTGTGTTTTGTCAAAAGCTTTTTTTTTGTATCTATTGAGATAATCATATGATTTCTGTTAGTTTTGTTATTGATATAGTCAATTATACTGATAGTTTTCCTACTATTGAACCAGCCCTGCATTTCTGGTGTAAGTCCCACCTGGTCATAGTATATTATCCATGTGATAAATACTGTAATCTCTTTGTTATTATGTTATTTAAATTTTTTGCATCAATATTCATTAGAGAAATTGGTCTATAATTTTCTTTTTCTGTTTTGGCTCTTTCTGGTTTAGGTATCAGCACCATATTTGTGTCATAAAAGGAATCTGATAGGACTTCTTCTTTACCTAGTTTTCCAAATAGTTTTTATAGTATTGGGATTAATTGTTCTTTAAATATCTGGTAGAATTCACTTGTAAATCCATTTGACCCTGGAGATTTTTTCTTAGGGAGTTCATTGATGGCTTATTCAATTTCTTTTTTTTTAAATGGGGCTATTTAAGTATTTTATTTCCTTTTATGCTAATCTGGGCAATTCATATTTTTGTAAATATTCAACCATTTCACTTAGATGGTCAGATTAATTGGCATACAGTTGGACAAAGTAGCTCCTAATTATTGCTTTAATTTCCTCTTCATTGGTGGTGAATTTTCCTTTTTCATTTTTGATACTGGTAATTTGGTATTCTTTTTTTAAAATCAAATTAGCCAAAGGTTTATCTATTTTATTGGTTTTTTTTTTCATAAAGCCAGCTCTTAGTTCTATTTATTAGTTCAATAGTTTTATTGCTTTTAATTTTGTTAATCTGTCCTTTGATTTTCAGAATTTCTAATTTGATATTTAATTGGGGATTTTTAATTTGTTCATTTTCTAGCTTTTATAGTTGCATGTCCAGTTCATTGGTCTCATCTTTCTCTATTTTATTCATGTAAGCATTTAGAGATATAAAATTTCCTTCTAAGAAATTTGGCTTTGGCTGCATTCCATAAATTTTAGTATGTTGTCTCATTATTGTCATTCTGTTTGATGAAATTGTTGTTTCTATGATTTGTTGTTCTTTAGGATTAGATTGTTTAGTTTCCAACTAATTTTTAATCTATCTTTACGTGGCCCTTTATTGCATGTAATTTTTATTGTATCATGATCTAAAAAGAATGCATTTAATATTTCTGCTTTTCTGCATTGGATTGTGAGTTTTTTATGCCCCAATACATGGTCAATCTTTGTGTAGGTACTATGTACCATTGAGAAAAAGGTATATTCCTTTGTATCCCCATTCAGTTTTCTCCAGAAGTCTAT